AAAGCGATGTACTAGGCTGGACGTAGCTCGGATTTTGGTGGAAATGAATCTTCATAAGCCCTTGATAGAGAAGATTTCTTTCAGGAACAATGAAGGTCAGCAGGTTGAGCTCGAGGTATCCTACCTATGGCTACCACCACGCTGTGCTGTTTGTCATTTGTGGGGGCGCAAAGGAACAGAATGCCAAGTCTCTAAAGTTGCTATACTGAAGGGGAACAGTGATGTTGCGCCGGAAGACATGCATGCACCGGTCGATAGTAATGAGGTAGGTAACAAGGACCTAAAGAGAAATGCGGTTGCTGGTTTGCTTAGAGATTTGCAGTGTATGGATCCAGTCATATCAGAGGATGAAACTAGAAACCAGGTGGTCGGAAAAAACATGGAGATTAGTGTTGGAGAAGCTAATTTGGAGAAGATGATTGTGCAGGATCACACTGATGGGAATATTCAGGATGATAACACTCAGACAAACAAGGAGTGGGCAACTATTAATGGAGGACCTCGTCAGTCACCTACAAAAGTTGGAGAAACGGCAGGCTCTTCCAACAATTTGAAGACTATTACAGTGGGTTCACCTTCACGTTACATGGTTCTAGCTTCCCTTGAAGCAGAGATCGAAGATACGGAAGTGGAAGAAGGAGAAGTCATTTCAGAAGATGAACAAAAGGAGAAAGCAGGTTCTTAGAATCAGAAAGACCGTGTGGAGGAGCGCATTCGTAAAGGAAAGCAAAGCTCGATACCTAATCACAAACCAAGTAAGAAGAAAATAGTGCACTCAAAAGACCTAAAGTTTATGAACATGCAAGCATCCAAAAAGACTTCCTTTTGGAAATTATGACGTCATTTTTTTTGCCTGGAACATGCGTGGCTTCAACATGTCACACAAGCATGGAGTAGTTAGAAGTTGTGTTCAGGCTGAGAAGCCTTTATTTTGGATGTTTAGTTGAGACAAGAGTTCGTCAGGAGAATCATTTAAAGTGTTTAAAGGCAGCTTTACCAGGATGGAATGCGATAACTAACTATGACTATCACAGGTTGGGTAGGATCTGGTTCTGTTGGTCAGATAAAGTCTTGGTTACTTTTCTACATATGAGTGCGCAAGTCATTAGTTGTACAATCCAGGTATCAGAAACGGGTGAGTAGTTCATTGTTTCGGCCGTGTATGTTTACAATAAAACTATTGAAAGGCGTCAGCTATGGGAAGATATAAAGAATACGCATGCAGCTTATAACCACCTGGCCATCCCTTGGATATTTCTAGGAGATTTTAATGTCACTCTCGCTTCGAATGATCATTCTAGAGCTTTGGATTACCTCACCGATCAAGCTGGAATGCGTAAGGCCATGGCAATCTGATCGCCGAGTTGTCCATGATGGATTCACCAACAAGCATTCATTTGAGTTCAAGGGCCGCAAGACTACTCTAGTCCCTTTGACACCTAAAGGAAGTTCAGCAAGATCAGTTGCAACTCCAAAAGAAGAAGGAGATTGATCTTAAACCATCCGGAACTAAGCAACAAAACTTCTATGCAAAAATGGGTGATATCAAAAGAACTCTCTACTGTAAACAACCTACTCTCTTACTTGTCTTTAAAGAAACTCTTTTGAACTTAACAGATCTTACACTGGTTTATCCGAGTGAAATGGTTTCTCTTTTGCAGGAGTTTGAGGATGTGTTTCCAGAAGAAAATCCCATAGGTTTACCTCCTTTGCGTGGGATTGAGCATCAGATAGACTTTGTTCTAGGATCTACACTTCAAAACCGGCCAGCTTATAGGACTAATCCGGTTGAGACCAAGTAGTTGCAAAGACAAGTAGAGGAACTCATGGAAAAGGGCCATATCCGAGAGAGCTTGAGCCTATGTGCTGTACCAGTACTCCTTGGGCCTAAGAAGGATGGAAATTGGTGCATGTGTGTTGATTGTAGAGCAATCAACAACATCACAGTGAAGTATCACCACCCTATCCCTAGATTAGATGATATGCTTGATGAATTACATGGTTCTTGCATTTTCTCTAAGATAGATTTGAAAAGTGGTTATCATCAAATTAGGATGAAGGAAGGAGATGAATGGAAAACTGCATTTAAGACTAAGCATGGTTTGTATGAGTGGTTAGTTATGCCCTTTGGATTGACAAATGCACCAAGTACATTCATGAGATTGATGAACCATGTTCTTAGATCATTCATAGGAATCTTTGTTGTTGTGTATTTTGATGACATATTAATATACAGCAAGAGCTTTGAGGATCATATAGAACATCTTAGGGCTGTCCTTAATGTTTTGAGAAATGAGAAACTTTTTGCCAACTTGAAGAAGTGTACTTTCTGTACAGATAACTTGGTCTTTTTAGGCTTTGTTGTGAGTGCAGATGGAGTCAAAGTAGATGAGGAGAAGATCAAAGCTATCATAGAATGGCCGAGTCGAACCACAGTGGGAGAAGTGAGGAGTTTCCATGGGCTTGCTGGATTTTATAGGCGGTTTGTGAAGGACTTTAGCACCATTGCAGCTCCATTGACTGAAGTAATCAAGAAACATGTTGGGTTCAAATGGGGAGAACCACAAGAAACCGCATTCCAAACCCTTAAAGAGAAGCTTACTCAATCACCTCTTTTAATTCTTCCTGATTTTGCTAAAACTTTTGAGATTAAATGTGATGCCTCAGGAATTGGAATTGGTGGTGTGTTAATGCAGGATAGGAAACCCATTGCCTACTTCAGTGAGAAGCTTGGAGGAGCCACTCTCAACTATGCTACCTATGACAAGGAACTTTATGCGTTGGTGAGAGCTTTGCAAACATGGCAACATTACTTATGGCCTAAGGAGTTTGTCATACACACTGATCATGAGCCTCTCAAGTACCTAAAAGGACAAAGCAAGCTTAGCAAGAGACACGCAAGATGGGTTGAGTTCATTGAGACCTTTCCATACGTGATCAAGTACAAACAAGGTAAGGAAAACATAGTTGCTGATGCACTATGTCGAAGGTATGTTCTCTTGACTACTCTTGATGCTAACTTGCTAGGATTTGAACAGATTAAAGACATGTATGAAACTGATCTTGACTTTAAAGAAGCTTATATGTCTAGTGAGAAGTTTTCTGCAGGTCATTACTTTAGACAAGATGGATTCTTGTTCTATGACAATAGATTGTGTGTGCCTAATCTGGTGTGTAATATCCAGAGCCTTAAGCGTGTCTATTGTTGGATTCAAAATCGGTACGACGGAATCAATAGCCAAACCTTTTCGCAAAAAATAAAGATACGTTTTATAAAACTCAATAAGTCGTTTTATAAAACTCGAAAAGTCGTTTTATAAAACTCGATAAGACATTTTATAAAACTCGAAAAGTTGTTTTATAAAACTCGATAAGTCGTTTTATAAAATTCGAGAAATCGTTTTATAAAACTCGATAAATCGTTTTATAAAACTGAACGAAGTTTCTAAACAAAGGAAATCCGCGAAAAACTCGGAAATCGTTATCTCGGAAGAACGAAACAAACGCCAATTACACGATCGTCCGAGTTAAGCACAAAACCGCGAAAATACCGCATCCGCCGTAAACCGCGAGCTGGTTCGGTCGAACTAACTCGTCGTACGGCGAGCTAAGTGGCCTCGAGCAAGCGCCGTACTGCGAACTATCTCAACCAGAGCTACCTTGCCGTACGGCGAGCTATCTCGACCAGAGCTAGCTCGCCGTACGGCAAGCTGAACCGGTCCGATTCGGCTCGTCGTACGTCGAGCTGATTATCCCGAGCCTCAATCTCCCACGTCCTCGATTCAAGGCACACGTCCTTCGGCACGATCGAAATGTCTCTCGTTTCGTCTCGATCCGTCCTATCGTTTGAGTTTTAAGATAAAAACCATAAAGTCTTGTTTTCTCGAAAGAACTCAAGGAAATCCTATTAAACGGCAACGGTTAAGCGAAACACCGAACATTGCCTAAACTATACGATTTACTCGAGATTTTTTGTGAGAGATCGTAAAAACGCGTTTTTAATAAAACTTCGAGTAAATCGTAGAAAACGGCAACGATTAACCGAAACATCGAACATTGCCAAATTTTACGATTAACTCAAGAAACTTACTTAAAATGGCATCGTATCAGGAAACGATCTCGTTTAAAGTCGTAAAATGGTTCTATCGCTAAACGGCTCGGAAAGTCCTCAAACGCGATAAAAGCCCACTCGCGACTTCAAACGAAGTTCAACCCAAAGATACGACGACGTTTTGACGATTTACTCGCATAAAGAAGATAAATGTCAAATTTGAAGATTAATGTCAAGTTTGAGGATAAATAGAAAATTTCCGCGGGAAAAAAGGAAAGATAGAGATAAATGGAAGATTCTCGATAAACTCGAATCTGGGCGAAATGGAAGGACCAAACCACCAAGGAAGGGAGTATATAAGCAAGAGGCATAGGACAGCAGCAGAGGACGAGTTTTCAGAGCTTTCACCACAAAACTTAGCATCTAGAAATATTTCCGTTTTCGTTATCGAGCTGCGTCTCAACTAGAGTTTTAGTCTTAGATTGCTAGGGTTATGAATTTCGCCGACGGCTCACGCAGCTAAGGCTGAATCTTGTTGTACCGTTCTTACGCGAATTCGGAATAAGAATCCTTTTGCTCCCAATCTCGTTTTTCTTTACATCTCTTTTTACTTACTCATATTAATCGCGTTCTTGATTGCTTGTGTGCGGTTCCGCAGATAGCCGGGTTGGGAACTTAGGGTTTACTCAAAGTTGCCTTATTTACGTAATCTTGACAGTAGGTGAATTTCGGTTCCCACATCTATCTCGGTGTGTAATATCCGATCTAGTCATCTAGGAGTATCAAGAGATCTCTCATCCCTCTTGTGTCACCATTCGATCAACAGCCTTGAAGAACTTGAGCCCTTGATTCGTTCTTGCAAGATCATCCCATCAACCAAAGGAGCATCCTGGGAGTGTATTACAATTTCTCAAGATTGGATAAGATTCTGGTACGCCTGATATCTCAGATGTGTGTCTATCATATTTGGAAAGAAAGGAATGCGCGTAGACATGGGAAATCTTGGATATCAGTGGAGAAACTTGCTTATCAGATTGACAAGGTAATGAGGAACAGAATCACATCATTGGGATATCGGTTTGGGAACAAATTGGAGGGGTTTCTAAGGCGTTGGTTTGAGATCACGGGGTGACATAATTTTTTGATCATCTTAATACATCACAGTTATATTCTTATGGATAGTAGGCAGCTAGTGATACCTTTTCATTTATTTTAGTTGTAAATGCCTATTCTTTTACATGATCAATAAATTTGAAATTTCATAAAAAAAAAAATTATTTCTTCATATGATCTTATAATCATTATATTTTAATATAGAAAAAAAATTAAGACCTTGATCCTAAAAATTTATGTGAGACTTTTAACAGTTTTAGTAATTTATACTCATTTTGAAAAATTCGAAATACAACATACACGAAAACAAATCGAGATTTTTATTATATGATTAATGTAATTTTGTAATTTATTTTAATAATAAAGAAATAAACAAAATGAGAAAAAGTATACAGATTGTTATCAAATCTTTATTGTTTAAAATTATTAATTGTCATATATATATTTTAATCACATTAGGTAACTCTGTAGGTTTTATTTAAGGAAAGCATGCGAAACAATAAATATGTGATATATGCGACCAACTATAGCCTACGAAATATTATATTTCTAGAGAGTATAATTTTTAGACTATACATTATATTATATGCTCTAGAAGCCTTCTAAATTGAAATAGAAGACAAAGAGCTATGCCACATAGGATTGGGGTTATTTTTAATTATTACAAACTTAAGGTTACAACTTTTAAAATGATTCTATTTTAATATATAAGGGATTATATTTAAAGAAACTTCAAAGCTAAAATAAAATAAGAGAGTTTAAAGACTTTATTTCTAAAATCAACACCATAAATCCATCTCAGCCGTCTAACAATAAAGTTATAATAAAAGATTTAATCACATTCTTCATCTGATAATTCAAAATCATTATTTTCATCTTCATCTGATCTTAATCCCGCTTCTTCTTTTATGTCTTCAAGATTTTATGTTTGACCATGTAAAGATGCCAGAGTCCCGACTTGTACTAAAGCAGTAGAAACCACTGAATTATCATCGTTATGCTGCGTTGCAGTGAAATCAAAATTTTGACTGACCGATATTTTTCAAATTGGTTGAATCACAATCGTTGTTTTCCACTGTTGATCTTTATTCTGAGTTCGTGGATAGAGAACATAACATACTTGATCTGCTTGTGAAGCTAAAATAAAAGGATCATACTTTCCATGTTGCTTTCCAGTATGGACATCAGTAATACCTAATTTGTTCACCCTTATACCCTTTTCAACGGTTGAATCATACCAATCACATATAAAAAGTACAATTTTAAGATGAACGAGTCCGGAATAGTGAAGCTCAAAAATATCTTGTACTACTCCATAAAAATCAGGTTTTCCGCTTGACACATGAGACATTGTGTCTTTAACAAAAACTCCATAATTGACACTGGTTTTGTCTTTTCCATGGTTATATGTGTGAAATATATATCCTTGATATCACTCAAATGTTTAACCCTAAAAAGTGAATTACTCTCTCAAATAAGAGGTTCAGTTGTAGTACTTAGGGATCGAATCCACATGGAACTAAGGAACACAATAGATGTAATCTTAAGTGATAATGCTAGGTTGATTAGGTTTAAAATAGTAAATTGCAGTTTGTAAGCAATGGTAAGTTTCTTAAGAGAATGGGTTTTGGTTTAAAACAATAAAAGAAAGTAGTTAGATTCAAGGTTGCTATTCAGATAATTAGGATTATAATGCTATAGATGTTTTAATGAATTGCTTGCAAGATATATGAGACCTTCGATTCTTAGACAGATCTAATAGCAATTGCTAAATAGACACATCCATTGATCTTATTGCCATCAATATCGACCAATGTTTTGACAGCGATATCGGACGATATGGGTTGCTGTCGATCGATAACTCTATAGGAGTATCGATCGATATAGCATAAGATCGAATCAAAACTGTGTTCACCAAGATCATAGACCGGCTCTCGCACAACCCTAGAGGATCTAAGCTTATGCCAAATGATTTCAGGACAATGATTAACAAGTTAAATCGCATGCATGATCATACTCTAGGTAGCTACTCTAGAGTAAGCATTAGGGTTCATTTGGATAATGAATATCAACAATATAACATTCCATAGTTGGGGCTAATCCTTCATAACTATTTGAACCCTAAATATAACAAAGAAATCTACTCAGACATAGCTGAGAGATTCATAACAGCAAGGTAATAATAGAAACTCATAGATTAGAAGATTGAACTTTTGGTTCTTGGAACAACAAATCTCTTTGTGTGTTTCTTCTAAATCTAGAATTCTATAACCTTTAAGAAATTAAGATGAAAAGAAAAAAATTATTGCTAAGTATAGAATAGAACAAAGTACAAAAGGCACTAGAACAATGAAAGCATTCAAAAAGCATAAGAAAGCATGCTTTGCCAAACATATAGGCAAAAACTATAAATATGTGTTCCATTAGGTTAAAAACTTGTCAGGGGCATTATTGTAATATTGGGAAGACTTGGGCTTCAAGTCGGCCAACTAGGACTTGTTCTCCACGCATCATATCGATCGATGGTACATGGTGTACATCGATCGATGGAGTATCTCAACTTCATCTTCTATGGAAGCGTCATCGATCGATTACACAGGGTGTGTATTGATCGATATGTATCATTGTTGTCTGATCTTCATAGTAATCTCGGAAAACTCTCCTTTAAGCTCCAAAGGGCACATAAATCATCACTTTACTCCAAAATGCTCCTGAACCTGAAAACATACCTAATAGACTCCAAAACATATATAAAACTTATAAAAACATATCAATACCATGGCTAAAAGCGGGTCAAAATCATGGTATATCAACTCCCCCGGACTTAACATTTTACTTGTCCTCAAGCAAACCATTAGTCTCTTTTGGAAGAAGTTTAAAAACAGTAGGGATTCAATAAAATCTTAGCTCTAAAATCATCACTTCTACTTTGTTGCAAGCCACATCTCATATTACTAACTACAGAAGTACATTATAGCATTTTCTAGCTTAGAAACCAAATTCATCTAGCCAATCAACTTAAACAATCATGTCTGACTATCCCCTCTACTTATTTTATTTATGCATAAAATAAAGGTGTAGGCTTTACCTTGGGAGTATCGATCAAAGAACACTTGGATTCAACTCATACAAGTTTCAGGCATTCTCATCATGGTCTCTTTTCTCTCTTTATCCCCCTTCTCTGAATCCCAAACTTTCTTTTCTTTTATATCAATCCCAATGAACAACTAATATTCATCTTATTGATTTTTCAACTTTTGTAGTCTCTTTTTGACAAAGTTTAGGCGAATAGTGGGGTCATGGGTAATGTACCTCTCCCTCGCTTCCACAATGTGTGATCATTCCTTTGATTTAGAATAGTGGGGTCATGGGTAATGTACCCCTCCCTCTGCCTCTCAGGAAATCATCTCAATCTTTTATTTTCTCTTTATGGGATGCCAAAGGAAGGAGAGAAGAAAACCAAAATTTTTGAGACTTTTACCTTCCAAACTTGAATGAGGATTCCGATCCCTTGTATAACAAGCCCCAAGACAAGCAATAGATGTCAGGTTAGGTTGGAAATCAGATTTGGTTCTTCCAAACAATCATGAAAAGTGTTGTCATAGGATGATCGGTGATCCACTTTAGAATCTATAGTACTTTCTGCAATCAACAATTCTAAGAATGGTGGTAAAGAGTAGTAAGATAAAAAGCAAAAGAAATTTTTTTTTGAAATGTTTTTGTCTCTTTCTTGACTCAATAAAACCAATTTTTGAAATTTTTTTAGAGAGATCAAAGAGGTAAAGTAGCATCAGTAATTCACTCCCCCCAGACTTAAATCATACACTGTCCTCAGTGTATAACCAGTCGGAGTTAGAGCATAAGAAATAATAAATGTGTAACTGATATCGAAATTGTGAACGATATACCTGACCGATGTTCGTATCGATCGATGGTGAGTCACTTCCATCGATCGTCATGGATAGGGTAATGTCGGGCGATGTAGACAGGGTCTCATCGGTCGATAGAGGTAGTGATCGTGTAGCTATGTTCCTAAAGACAAATAAAAACGAAAGTAATAAGTAAAAATAAAATAAAACTAATTAAGAAAATACCTAACAGTGGGTTGCCTCCCACTCAGCGGTTATTTAAAGTCATTTAGCTTGACTATGGAGGTATGGTGGCTAGTGAGGTGGGTTGCAGGTACTTGTTGGGAAACAAGTATCCTCCATGTCTTGTGATTCTTCAAACCATGAAGTTAAGAAGCTTCTTGTGGCTTTCTCACTTTGGGTCATACTAGCTTGCAAACCATGGACCTCATAGTGGATTCTCTGTAACCACTCCTCAATGCTTGATAAACTGCACTCATGTCGTCCAGCGTGACTGTTGGTGTTCTCTGGATCAGTACTCATCGGCATGGTGTTGAGGTTTTGGATATGGTGCACAGGCGATACGGTGGTATCGATCGATCTCGGTGTATTCCAGTCGATCGATGTGGATGGATGTCCGTCGGTCGATGTGTGCAAAGGCTCGTCGATCGATGCGGATTGTGCAGGTTGGCTCATGAGCTGGTTCTTGATGTTTTTGATCTCCTGCTGAATATTCTCCATTGTGCATTTCAAATCTTGAACGTCACCTTGTACCGGCCACCAAAATTTGTCTAGTGATCTATGTGCGTCCTATTCACAGAATTCGATAGATCTGTAGATATCTCTTGTGACTTCTTCAAGTTCTTCTCTGGTACAGTAGTCTGGTGCGTGATTATCGATCGATGTGCTTGGTATATCATCGATCGATAGCTTCTTTAAGTGGCTTTCGATAGGTGCTTCAAAGGTCGTGTCGATCGATGCTTATGGTGCTGCATCGGTCGATGATCGTCTCTGAGATTCTAGTTCTTTGCGAAGTGCATCCACCTCTTCTTGTAGGGCTTTTCTCTCTTTACGAGCGAAGTCAGTGCCAGACATATTCCATAGTAGTTCTCCTTGAAGTCTTGATATGGCTTTCTCATGTTCGAAGCTCAATCCTGCTATCTCCCAGTTG